CACGCGTGTCTCCCATGACCGAACGCGATGTAATTGACGGACGTGTTGACGAGTTGATGCTTGACGCGCTCCTCATCTGAGTCCCCACGCACGCGGGAGAAACGAAGCGGGTCGAAGACATCAGGATTCTCGTATATGTTGCTGTCGTGATGAATGTCGTATGCAGTTGCCAAGAGGGCAGTGCCTTTCGGAAGAAAGGTTCCATCACACAAGGTTATGTCCTTCATGACCCTACGTGTGAGAGAAGCTGTAGCACCATCTCAGTAAACCACTTTTGCATACATGTGACGGAAGTACATACCCAGAGCAAGGCCTTCGTGGCGCTGAAACTCCTTCAATAGACTGTCGAGCTTCCACATCTTCGCCATGGCAGCCTTGGTCCAACCTTCATTCTTGACGACATCTTCGATTTCTTCGCGTATAGGTTCGATGTACTCGTAGTACTCGGCAAGACGCAAGAGCGAAAGGCTCCCGCTCTTGATGAATGTCAGTCCCTACTGGATGTTGTTGCATAGAATTTGAATATACATACTAGTGAAGACGTGTGAATCGCAGCAAAGTTTGTGACCATGATGCGGTCAGGAATGGTCTTTATCTGAGTGTCACTCTGCTCTGCCTCGATGAACCACTGGAGGAGATCGTTCTACGGAAGTGTTGAGCAGCACAGCACACAACATTACTGACCGCATACCGGTTTCTCGGGCCAATCGTTTCCCCGCTTCTTCGCCATGTTGATACGCTCGTTGATGACCGGCATCAAAATCTCAGCATTCCTCTGTACCATGCGCCTTGCCAGGCTATACATCCGGCTGACGAAGCTTTGTGGGGCATAGTTAGCGGCACTCATCTGTCGACAGGGTGCGGGAAAGGGTGCTCACCCCTTCATGAATTGCGGAAAGTTGTTGAGCATGTCTCTGTCCTTCATAACATCGATGGAAAACTGAATTGCAAGATCGATATACTCTTTGTTGCGGCCTACAACCGCGTCGGCCGTTAGCCAGAGTCGTGTACGATAATCCACAAACACGTACACATAGGCAGGCCAACGAACACGCGGGCACTTGCACGGGCAACAATCTGCTGCAAGGCAGCTTTGATATCGACCTCGACCCACCCTATGTTCGCATATTTGTTAATGTGCCATCTTCTCGCGCGCAAAAAGTACCATGTGTAACCAACCTTCGGAGGTCGCCGGGATGTGCTCTGATATCGCCAGTTGCAGCTCCTCAACGATCTCTGGCATGATCGTGGGGAGGATGCGAGTCAGCTTCTCTCGAATTGCATCGACATGGTACGGGTTGTTAATGACGTCTGAGTTCAAGATATGCTTGAGTTGCATGGACTATTCTCGATATTTCAGACGGAGGACAATCAAGCGGGGCCGCCCGAGCGAGTATTAACTCACGTCTTCGACACTCTCGCTGAAGGACAACTCGTCATCACGCCTCCTCCGGACATCGTCTATCAAGGCTGAGCCCGAAATGAAGACCATCCAGCGATCCCACATGGGCACCTTGAACGGCCTTCCGTGATACTAAACCCAGGGGAGGATATGCATCAGAATAATTTCTGATGATGGAGATGAGTGAGATGTACCTTACGATATCCCTCGCGGAGAACGTCTTTACCGTCACGTCTGAATTTGAACGCCCCAATATACGATAGCAACGGAAGAGAACTGCCGCCCAGAGTAGGGATGTGGTACAACTGCACAGCACAGCTCAGTGAGCCTCCCGAAAATCCCGCGAGGCACTGTCTGACATACCGGGTGTAGGCGCCACGCCATGAAAAGTAGCACGACAATGCCAGCGACCCCGGTCCAAAGGTCGGTAAAACTGGCTGTGTAGACCATGGTTTGTGTGCGCTAAGTGAAGAGTCGTTGGGTACGAGAAGAAGACGCCGCAAGGTATGGGTTCTCTATATATGCCCCCACAGACTTCTTCGATGTACAGATAAGGAGCACATTTACTAAACGTCCCAACAAGCCGCGGCATGGAGCGTACGGCAGCAGAGACGCGTAACAAGAGTTTACTCACCGGGCCACTACTAGGGGGCCGGCGTTCCGAGAAATGAACACAAAATCTGTGCTCCGGCGGCAGAAGGGTGGAGACAGGCTTCCTGCTATGAACACTCGTGGCGAAAGAACTCCACGCAATGTATTATCCGTGCGCATCAGGCAAGACGTAGGCCAAGATCCGACCTGCACGAGAAGGCAGGCGAGTCAGTATTTGTCAGCATGACGGAAGGTACGACAGACGATACTCACGCGTTGCTCTCTTGGTCAACACTGTCAGGCCATGGGGCCACACAACTCCCTTGCGGAGGCGCGGTTGACTTGCGGGCACCCTTAATAGCGTGGGGCGGGATCTCACGAGACAACAATCCGTGTGATGCGTGACTTCACGAATGTGGTTCTGCCAAAAGCGCTTTTCTGACAGTCTACGGCGAGACTCTACAGGTCACTAGGGTGAGCAACATGTTCTTTACTCACCGCCCCAAGGCCGATGCAGGGAATTTGGCACCCGTATGTTAGCATGTTGGCATGGAATATCCACAAAGTTCTCAATCTCCGCAGTCCCCAGACAGATAGAAGTCAACCGTGACTCGAGTCAAGAGCTACGGCTGCGATACCTGGTCATGAAGCTGCGCGGATGGCAGAGAGGATCGCAGGACGCCTTCACTGGAGGCTCTCTTCCAGTGTCTTCACATTCTCAGTACGAAAGAAGGGCAGGAGATGTTCATGGAAGCCGTCGGGGACTCGGGGCCCCAGGCCGACGGTAGAGGAGGAAAGAGAGCCAGGTTGAGCGTCTTTGGCACGCCCGGGTCCTTCTCAGCATAGCAGGCGTCTAGATGCACGCTTCCTTCATAAGTATGCTCTAATACACAAGTGCTCAGAAAATATTAAGATCTACCTACGAGGACACTGTAGACCCAGAGATCGTGCAGATCGTCGCTGGGAACGGCTGTGATGCAAAGGTATGGATGTCGTTTGCATAAACTTGAGCTACAGCGTGCTGCCCTTGCCATTGCACGAGGTATTATGTACTACTACCAAGTTTGTACTCTGCAAGAGCTGTATTGAGATGCGCATCGTGGATTGTCTCATTTGTACTACCACTTGAAGTACGTGCGGAAAATACTTGACTTATGCCGCGCAAGGCCTGGATGTCACGCGTGATTCAGCCAACTTCATGCTCGACGTTTACCGACAGCGCTCGGATGACTCGCATAAGCACCAGCCACCCATCGGGGTCGGACGCACCTGTCACTTGTACTCGCTCCTTCTCCTCTGCTCCCCTTTCCCGGCTCGAAGCTCCAGTATGAGCTCACCAGCGCCTGGCACTCGCCCATTGTCCTCTGGGGAAGGGTTTCTATGCGGCGGGATGGCAGCATGTGTTGCTGTAGGTCTTCATGCCGTGCCTTCCGACCCAACGGGCCATGACGCGTGTGCCGCATGGTATAGGTGACCGTGTCCAACCCCGCGGAAGTGGCCAAGACGCGCATGCAGCTCCAAGGAGAGCTGGCGAAGCAGGGCGCAACGAAGGTATACAAGAACGCGCTCGACGTCATTGCGAAGACCTGGCGAAACGAAGGCATTAGAGGCGTCCAGAGAGGCTTGGGTCCCGCGGTAAGTCCACCGAGGCGCATGCTGTCGAGCTGTTCTCACCGTTCATATCTGTGCAGTATGCCTATCAAGTGAGTCAGTTTGCGCCCCTTCATCGTTACGAAGCCCTCATGATTCCAGATCTTAATGAATGGGTCGCGGCTCGGTACGTCATGATGATCGTCAATGAACACCTGTCCGTTACCTAACATATGTTCTAGGTTTTTATGAACCCATACGGAGACAATGCAACAAGTTCATAGGAGCTAACCCGACGGACCAAATTCCTCTCACCTCCGTTTTCTCCGGTGCTGCGAGCGGGATAATCGGAGGTACAGTTCGTTGAGTGTCTCATAAGTTATTGGCCCTAATTTTTTGTGCAGCAAGCTTCGGAAACCCGTTTTTCCTCATCAAGGCCCGAATGCAGGTGAGGATAACTGGGTTGCGTCTATAGTTCTTGTATGCTCGCCATGCTTACATCGCCTAGGCCTATTCCCCAGTCTTGCCCGTCGGCGCTCAGCATTATTACAAGAACTCCTTTGACGCGTTTAGAAACATATGGCACGCCGAGAAGCTCCGCGGGCTGGTAAGGGGCATAGATGCGGCAGCACTGCGAACAGCTATGGGCTCCTCCGTGAGTTTGCCTTTACTCGGGTTCTGTTTTTTTCTTTGACACCTGACGCTCATCCAGGTCCAACTGCCCACCTACAATTGGACCAAGAACCAACTCATTAGTCGCGGGATCACCCGCGGGGACAGTATCTGGACGTTCCTGGCGAGCAGTTCCGTGTCTGGACTCTGCGTGGTGCGCTATGTTTACCGTTCCCGCTTGTTCCGCCTGCTGACCTTCGCGTGAAGTTGACAATGATGCAACCAACCGATACCGTACTTACGCGAATGTATAATCAACCTACGATACGTACCCCGGACGGAAGGCACGTAGGGACACTTTACAAGAACCCTATAGACTGTTTGTGGAAAACCCTCAAGGCGGAAGGCCCATTGGGATGGTACAAGGGTACGATATCGGGTATATATCAACGGCTATTCGCGCTGAGATGTTGCATTTTGTAAGGTTCGACGGCGCATTTCCTTCGCATAGTGCCACACACGTGAGTACCTCAGCTTGCTTGCTGGTTGCGTCGACTCTAAAGGGTCATATAGCATTGTCACGCTTACTGCGAACGACATTATTGTAGGACTTTACAAACGTGTGCGGGAAGGACATGCATTGACATGATAGTATCTGGGGCGTACTATATATACATGTTCGCACAATTAATACTGCCTTCAACTGAGGAACAGTTAGCAAGTTCTACTTACTACTTGGCCGAATGTCTCAACAATGTCTAGAGCAAGAACACGAGTGGGCCCTGTACAGCGTGACAAGCAAAACTGAACCCTGCCCGGATCGAACGGACGACCTTGAGGAGTGTCCTTTACTGGAATCTCACGCGCTACCACTGTGCCAAGGGTTCTCATGTGTGACGGACAGTAACAGTGAGTAAGCTAGTGTCTACTTTCTCGCCGTACTTCTACGCCGTCTGACCTCCTTTAAGTCCTTCTCTTGAGCTTGAGCGTTCGTCTGTGCGCGACCTTAGCGCAGGTACGGTGAAACAATCTCTAGATCAGGGATCCAACTTGACACTTTACTCGATGTCATGACAGGCTGTTCTTCTGATACGGAATGCCACCCGTCGCGGAGAATCACTCCTTGGGGTCGGGAGGACAAGTTCATCCTTCGAGTTCTACTCGCTCTACGACAGTTGCGTCGCAACATGAGGTACAAGCGCAAGATAGAGCAGAACCTGAAGAGGCGGTCGCGCCTCCCTTGGACTGCCTTGCGTTGGCTAATCTGCTTGTTCAGCACTTCTCAAAGTGAATGAGCCTAGTAGTTTGTGGGCATTTGGAACAAGCTAACCTGAAGGTCATCAGCTCTTGGGGACAACGGACAGCCGAATTTGCCGTCTATTTATTCCTGGTCACCTTGTTCCCGGACACACTTCTTCCCGCCTCGATCTACGGCTTCGCGACAACAGGGTCGGCTATGGTGCTCTCCGGTTGGGCTGGCAAACTTGTGGACGACCACCACAACCTCAGAGTTGTACGCGCAAGCATCGTGGTAGTCAAACTCGCCGCTTGCATCATGTACGCCGGAAGCCTTGTTCTGCTCTACCACGAACGTAACAGTATCATGTCCTGGAACATGCCGCTCTCGTCTGGGATTTTCGCGCTCATTGTCGCAGGAGGCTGCGTACACAATCTCGCTGGGGTGACTATCTCTGTGGCTGTCGAGCGGGACTGGGTGACGACCATCGCAGGCACCTCCCCGACGCACCTCACTACGCTGAACACGTACATGCGGCGTATCGATCTATTATGCAAGCTCCTCGCCCCCTTTTTTGTCTCCTTGCTGACTTCCGCGGCATCGTACCGTTTCGCCGCGATTCTCTTGTGCGGTGTTGATGTGGTCTGCTTGGTTTTCGAGTTGATATGTATATATCTTCGCACCCCTCCATCGTATTGCTGCTGCTCACGTATTGTTACAGGGACCGAGATCTCATATCGCCGTTTCCCCGCCCTCCAAGAAGCACAGACGTCCAAGGAAGCCGCACAACGAGCGGATGTACGCGAGGAGCGAACGCGGGAGCACAGTCGGACATCCCTTGGAATGCACCTCTGTATCTGGACGGCGATCTCCCGCAGGATGAAGGCCACTCTCCTTGACTGGCACGAATTTTCGCGAGAGCCCGTCTTTCTATCGTCGCTCGCTATCTCAAGCCTCTATATGACCGTGCTCAGCTTTGACGGTACCATGCTGAGTTACCTGAAAGCCCACACATATAGCGATGCATTCCTTGCGGGTATCCGTGGACTGAACGTCCTTGCTGGGCTGTTGGGCACACTCGCCATGCCCCTCATGGAGAGGAAACTGGGGCTGGTGCGGGCCGGAAACTGGAGCATTTGGTACGAGTACCAACGCCGAATGCTTGGAACGCTCCACTTATGTCCCTGACACTGGACAGGTCTGAGGTGTTATGTCTTCTCCCAGTGCTCATCGCTTTCTTCGTGGGTGCACCATCTGACGGTAGCCAGGGCCCGGCCTGGAATGCCACACTGTTGTTCGGTGGTACGCCTCTCTATAATATGTCTACTCTTCTCACTCACATCCCCGACGGCATCAGGGATGATGTTGTCCAGGATCGGTCTCTGGGCGTTTGACTTGTGTCAGCTCAAGGAACTGCAACTCGCACTGGCAACGCACCCTAGGCGGAACTCATTGTGAGTGCTGATTACTCCACTGTTGGTAAACCTGGCCTCCCTGGGTGATTTTCATCTCCTGCTCTAGGACTGCACTGCAATATTCGCTGCAAAATGTCGCTGACATGCTCAGAGTGCGTCCCGCAGTGATTATAACAGTGCTGCTGATTAAAACGAGAGATTAGTACACACTGACAATCATCTTGAGCCGGCCCTCGCAGTTCAAATATGCTGCGCTTGCGTCGTTCATCAGTGTATGCACAGGTGCTCTGACGTATCTCGTATATGTGAAGAACCAGCGCGGACATTTGCTTCACCACTCTCTCGAAGATCTCATCCCTCTTCTTAAGAGAAGACCACGACGGGCGGGATAAATCGGGGTAAATGGACGGGCCTTTATAACGGAGGACGCGGGAGGTTGAGTACTATGTAGTGCATGCGTAGTACCATGATGTGTATTCTATTGCGCCCAGCGCTACATTACTTCGATTGAAACCCATGTCCGGACCCAAGGGAACTGCTGGTTTTGTTTGAGACAGAATTCCACGCAGTGCCGCAACCAGGTCCTGCGTGGTCAAATCACCGTGGTGTGCCGCGGTAGTATAATGTGTCAGTGTTTTGTCCGGGGATGCAATATTGGACCCGGTCGATGATATTCGCGGAGACGAGCGTCTAATCGCTCCGAGCTCTCTGCCAGTCTCCGTCGACTAAGTATTGCCATGCGTCGTACTGCACTCCGTTCTCTTCGTGCCACTTCCTCCAGGAGGCCGTATTCGAAAGTCGTATCTGGTTCAAAGCCTCAACCAGTCGTCGCGGATCCCCCTGTGATCACAACGACCCTCCCCAATGGCCTCCGTGTGGCGACCGAGTCCACCCCAGGACACTTTTCCTCCGTCGGTCTCTATGTCGACGCTGGCTCGAGGTACGAGACACAAGCGACATCTGGTGTGAGCCACTTTTTGGACAGGATGGCGTTCAAGGTATGTGCGCCAAACAGTGTAAGTCATGGCCGAACTGAGCGAGTTCCTCTTACAGACTACACTATCTCGCTCAGAGGAGCAAATGGCCTCCGACATCGACGCCCTTGGTGGTCAAATCCTCTGCTCGTCTGCCCGCGAATCTATCATGTACCAGTCCTCCCATTTTCATCAAGGAACCCCGCTCGCGCTGTCCCTCATTGCCGACACCGTCTTGCACCCCGCATTTCTGGAGGAGGAGCTTGAGGCGCAGAGGGAGGCAGCGCGGTATGAGCTTCGCGAAGTCAGCTCAAAGCCTGAGATGATCCTTCCGGAGATTCTGCATGATGTCGCCTACAATGGCAAGGCTCTGGGTAACCCCTTGCTATGCCCAGAAGATCGCATAGACTCTATAGACGGCGCAGCACTGAAACAGTTCATGAAGAAGTGGTACACGCCAGACCGCATGGTCATCGCGGGCGCTGGCATGCAACACGAAGAACTCGTCGAGCTTGTCGACAAGCACTTCGCATCCCTCACAGCGAACAAGACTGCCCTCACGCGCGCATCGACAGGCCCACAACAAGTCCCCACCAATCTACTTCATTCATCACAGCAGTCTTCGCCCTCATTATACAAGTCGCTCACCCGCTCCGCATCTTCTTACCTTTCGCCGGAACTGTCATCACGCCAGCCTCCTCTGAACCCTGAGTCCACCTACACCGGTGGTCACCGATTTATTCACGACTCAGCGACGGAGTTCAATCACGTCTATCTGGCGTTTGAGGGCGTTGGTATCCACGATGATGACGTCTACGCGGTCGCAACTATGCAAGTGCTGCTTGGGGGCGGGGGCAGCTTCTCAGCGGGTCAGTACTCCCACTCACGTGCCCGATTTTCTTCAGACGCTTACGGATTCTCAGGTGGCCCCGGAAAGGGCATGTACTCGCGGTTATACACGCAGATACTCAACCACTTCCCGCAAATCGACCATTGCGCGTCCTTCCACCACATCTACACCGACTCGTCTCTGTTTGGACTCTTCGCGTCTGTTGTACCGTCGAGTGGACGCCAGGCGAACGCCCCTGCACACATATTCCCACACCTCGTACATCAGCTCAGCCTGCTCCTGTACTCAAACCTCCCCGTAGCGGAGTTGAGCCGCGCCAAGAATCAGCTCAAATCCAGTCTGATGATGGCACTCGAGAGCCGCGCTGTCGAGGTGGAGGATCTCGGCCGACAGGTGAGTGTCTCTGAGTGACGTGCTCGAAATGGTCCCTTATCCCTTTTGTAGGTTCTCGTCCATGGGCGCAAGGTGCCCGTGTCGGAAATGTGTGAGAAGATCGACGCCGTCGACGATGCCACAATTCGGCGGGTGGCCGCACGCCTTTTCGGCCCTCGCACTTCTGCGCGCGCGAGCGTTGTCGTCATGGGCAGGGAGGATGTCGGGGATTATCGCGGGGTGCTCCACAAGTACGGCCTTGCCGACGCGTGAGCGTCATGGTCCAGTCCCTTCGCTTGCTAGGTTCCTGCATTTTGTACTACCTACCTACATATGTCCATCGCACGCCGCTGCTCCCTTAATAGACAATCCATTGCTCTCCAAAAGTCTTTCTTGGGAGAACACGTAGGCTGGAGCGTTATGGCCTTGCCAGTGCGGCAGGGTGTAACGCACTGCCGAACGCTTTCTTCGCTGACCTCGCGATCTTCCGCGTCAATGTCGGCTTCTTGCGGGTCATCTTCATGATCGCCTCGAGCTTCGCCTCGCCTCCGCTGCGGCGCGACGACAGTGGCATTGCGCGCGGACACTCTGAGACCGGCTCGAAAGGAACGCGCTGGAAGCCAACGCTGTCAGAACTGGTACCCATCGCACGAAGTGTCATTTTGACTCGCACCTCGCCCGCATAGTACCCATACGGTGGGTCCATCAAGCGGAATTTCAACCCCCTTTCCCTACAGAACTCATACAGCAGCTGGATGTCCTCCACGCAATCGTCGTCCTCGTCTACCCGTCGATGATACGTCAGCACCTCCAACCGGCCGTCAGAGCTCTCGTAATACGCTGCCAGGTCCGCGACGATCTCGCGGTAGTCGACCTCTCCGAGCGGGTGCAGCGCGAGGTGGCGCAGGCCCGCAGGGAGCGGGCGGAACGCTGGGGACGGGTAGCGCGGTGCGATCATCCACACCTCTTCGACCTGCGTGAGCACCGCGAGCGCGTCGCCGTCGCCTGACTCGACGCGCGGCACCGCGAGCGATTGGAG